TATTTTAGTAGGGATTTGGTTGTATTTTCTGCAGTTTTGATTTATTTTTCCCTTATCAAAGTTTAGTCTCTTTACTAACTTGGAAACAATAACATGGATGTGTAGAAAATACCACATATTATGGAGGTCCCAGTACACCACCTGCGTTATATTAATAAATGTCATCATTACATGAATTAAAGAAAAATTTATGTTTAGAATTTGAAGTTTATTACTGCCCAGAGGAAAATACTAACAGAATTCTGCTTGCCTGCTTCCTATCTTTCCCATAATTCAAACTTCAGTTTATATATCACTCTAAGAAGCATATCATCCTCAATAAGCGGGAACATTTAGTAAAATAATAGTTAAAATTAACAAACCATTTGGCTTGCAATGTCGTATGATAATTACCAACATCACTGCTGAACATGGAGAAAAATAATATTTTGAACTTTAAGCTCTTAACTCAAGCGGGCCCAGTAACGTCTCCATTGGAGACTTTGTTGTTACTGTGTCTGGCATATCGAATACTCTCGGTAGCTTGCCGGGCTCTCCGAGAGGGGCGGAGGAATCGAACTCGGGCAGACACATTCTAGGTGTGAAGAAATTGATACCAATTCATCAAAAGATACTTTGGTTAGGGGGATGCTGGCCTTTGTTACAGGTGGACTAAGCAAAAGAATGAAATATAGACAAGCTGGGGATGCCCAGACTTCTCAGCCAAAAGGCTGACTAAAATGACATGTGTAAAATTCACTAATGCACTCAAAATTTTTTCTACAAAGCTAGTAGCTTGTTTGTTTGTTTGTTTGTTTGTTTGTTTGTAGAAAAAGCCTATTGTGTTTAGGGATTATTCCTAGCTCTTTGTTCAGGAATCATTCCTGATGGTGTTAAGGTGACAGGCAAATGTGATGTTGCCAGGAATTAAACTTAGATTACCCTTATGCAATACAAATACCAGCACACTTGTACTATTTCTCTGGCCCCCCAAAGCACATAGTAAGTACTAGATATCCATTTTTTTTATTTAGAATTAAATCTCGAATTCCACAAAGATATACAAACATGTGAAATAATCTTTAACCATGACCTTTGTAAGTACGACCTGCCAAAGTCTTTAACGATCTCAGTAACCTGAAACATTTAAAAATGAAAGTTTTATTTATGCTCATAGTTTCTCTTCTTACTATCTATTGATATTTGAAATTTTTAGCAACTGAGTGAAAAGTGAGAATATTATACTTCACAAAGTATTAGTGAATTTTTAAGATATAGATTTATTGAGTCACCACAGTTATGAAATACTAAAAAGTTAATAGATTTTATTTATGGCCTAGCACCCTCTGACATTGGATAGCAGATCATAATTCTTAGCAAGGCTGAAGAAATTCTATTTTTTAAATATTGATTAAATTCTACCCTTTATTATTGCATGTTATTCTGGTTTTTCTCCCTCTCATTATAAACTTCTATTCACTTTATGAATAACTAGGAGGCCATAGCCATGGAGGTCTGACTTCACTGCACCCAAAGGCCTATCAATTGAGAGACACAGTAATGGGCTGAGAAAGACCTTTATGGGCAAAAAGCCTGCAGCTTGGAAGATGGTGGAATCCTGTCCTTAAATAACCATCTTGCCTGTGTGGTTCCAAAAAGCAGTTTTACAGAAAAAAAAATACAGGGAAATTAATCACTATAATCTCCTTCATGTCTCTATTCTTTTCTTCAAAGTCTGAAACACACATTAGAAATGCTGAGTGCCACAGTTTTATATAGCAGGCTGGAAAAAAGTCAAGTCCCTTTCAAGTGAAGCATTAGAATTGAAGACAACAGTTAAATGCAGAAGGTGTATTGAAAACAGTTATCCAGGACACCCAAAGAAAACTAATGACAAAGTTTATGTAAAGGAAATCCAGAAAAATGTTTGAAATAGTCTATTCCTCTGAGCAGTTCAGCTTTAATAAGGTGATTGATTCCAGAATATCAATACCCCTGATTCCTTTCCTAGTCATATTTCTATCCTCATAATATTGTTTCTAAGGTCTAAAATGACCCTTTCAAAGCCAGGGAGATATCTCAGAGGGATGAATGCATGCAGGAAGCTCAGATTTCAATCCCCAGTATTAGGTAGTCCCAGGAGTGAACCCCACAGTCTGGAGTAGATACTGAACACCACAGGGAGACCCAACAACCAGAATTTAAAAATGGTAAAAAGTTCAAAAGTAACATGATGGTTTCAGTTCCTATAGTCACAAATCCTTTCTTTCAATTAGCAAGAAAAAAAAGGGAATCTACAGCACCTACCTTTTCAAAGGGAGAAGAGGGGCTTTGGGCCACACCTTGTGGTGCTCAGGGCTTACTCTTGGTTCTGTGCTAAGGGGTCATTTCTGGTTATCCTTAGGAATCATAATGTGGTGCCAGGTATTAAATTCGGTGGCTGCATGCATCAGAAATACCTTTCCCTTTGCTCGCTGGACCGAGTCTATTCTTTTGTATTACAGACATGACTCAACTTCCATACTTGATTGCTTTGTATTTCATTTTCGCCTAATCACAAGAATGAAGATAGACTCAACGAATGCTTGGGAATATAATCTTAAATTAAGATACAAATAGGGATCTTTTATTTTTATTTGCTCGAGCGGGCCCAGTAACGTCTCCATTGGAGACTTTGTTGTTACTGTGTTTGGCATATCGAATACTCTCGGTAGCTTGCCGGGCTCTCTGACAAGGTCTTTACCTTTACCTTATTTTTATTACCTTATTTAGGAATAGTTAATATAAGTATAACCGTTGATCTAAACATTGTACTTACAGATGTACAAGCAAACTACATAGTATTCATTTCTTCATCTCTGCTTTGTTTTCTTGAGATTAAAATAATGACAAAATTTTATAAATTTTATTTCCTAGACTATGTATTTTTTACCACTCATGTAGTTCAATCTATGAATGAATCATGCCTGCAAATGTAAAATGCCTACCTTCATCACTGACTTCCCTATACACATTTTGATCTCTACATAAAGAGGTCTCTATTTCTCAGTGATAATTGCTATCTCAAAATTTGAGCAACATTAGGGCCAGAGGGATAGTACATTAGGTAGGGCACTTGCCTTACATATAACCAGTCTAGGTTTGATCCCTGGCATCCCATATGGACCCTGAGCACTACCAGGGATAATTCCTGAGTGCAGAGTCAGGAGTAATCCCTCCCATGGGTAGGACTCAAAATAAAAAAACAAAAGTTTGGATAAGTTCATCATCATTGCTATTTTTTCTCCCATTCTTACCCTAAAATCCATTAACCTGAGAAATGCTCAATTTACTCATTATTAAAACTCTAAAACTTTATAGCCTAATAAGGAATAAATGTTCCAACAATATTTACTAAAATTATTTAAAAATTAATGATTAATTTTATTGTTTGCATTGGGTACATAGTAATTCAGAAAAGGTTAAGAAAGTATATGAGATTGAATAAAAAGTACCAATGAAAGTGATGTTAGGTTGCTCCCACCTTCATTGCTGGTGGGAATGCCAAAAGGCGGTCCTCTGGGAAACAGTATGGATGATTCTTAAAAAATTAGAAATTGAGCTCTCATTTGACCCAACAATACCACTCCTGGGAATATAGCCCAGAGAGGCAAAAATGTATAGTCGAAGTGACATCTGCATTTGTTTGTTCATTGCAGCACTGTTTACAATAGCTAGAATATGGAAAAAACCTGAGTGCCTGAGAGCAGATGACAGATGACTGGTTAAAGAAACTTTGGTACATCTACACAGTGGAGTACTATGTAGCTGTTAGAAAAGATGAAGTCATGAAATTTACAAACAAGTGGTACTAATGGAAAGTATCATGCTAAGTAAAATGTGTCAGAAAGAAAGGGACAGACAGAAAGATTGCATTCATCTGGGGAACATAAAGTAACAAAATAGGAGACTAACACCCAAGAATAGTCAAGATAAGTACCAGGAGGTTTACTCCATGACTTGGAGGCCACCCGCACATGCTAGGGGAAAAGACAGCTCAGATAGAGAAGGGAGCACCAAATAAAGGGTATTGGGAGGATCCTCCAAGGATGAGAGAAGCATGCTGAAAGTAGACTATAGACCGAACATGATTGCCACTCAATGCCTCTTTTGCAAACCACAGCACCCAAAAGGAGAGAGAGAACAAAAGGGAATGCCCTGCCACAGACGTAGGGTGAGATGGGGGGTTGGGGGGTGGGATGGATACTGGGACCAGTGGTAGTGGAGAAAGGGCACTGGTGGAGGGATGGGTACTCAATCATTGTATACTGAAACCCAATCACAAAAATTTGTAAGCCTACAACTGTACCTCATGGTGTTTTACTAATAAAAATTAAAAAATAAATAAATAAAATAAAATACTTACAAGGTATAAAAAAAGTGATGCTAGGTTGCTTTAGGAAGGTTTCTGTTTGAGAATCAAATAACTGAATGAGGAAAGATTTTTGGTTTGGTATCGTTATGTAGACACCAGAGTAGTAATTTTTAGGAAAGGTACAGGTATGCTTGCCTTACAAAAGATTCAAAGTAACAGTTTCTTTTCTAAAGCTTTGCATATTTTTGGAAATAATGAAAAAGACTTTTTAGTATGACAATCTTTGATATATAGACAAGAACTTCCCTAGTATCTTCTAATATTGAATAATTAAATTAAAGCACTATAACATACCTTAGACATGATAGAACACATGCCTATACACAATTGAGGCTCTATGTTTGCTCTCAAACATCACAATGGAAAAAAATTAAATCTTCAGGTCATATAGTAAAACAAGATATCTTCAAAGATACATGAAATTATAAAGAACTAGTTAATCACCTTACACCTTGCTATCTCTAGATATTTTAATTTTAGATATATTTTATCCTTAGATATCTTTAGAACATATCTGTTGTTCAGAAATTTTACAGTATGAATATAACTATTGCCTTTTATTTTATTCACTGGTAAATTACAAAATTAATCAAAAATGTATATGAATAAGTCTGTACTTTCAGGGATTATTTCTTTAGTTCAATACTAGAGAAGTTTCTCTGATCATGTAGAGCACCCAGAACCACAAGGAGGAGCGAAGGCATCCTTCCCTGAGCAGGTATCTGGTTCTAGGTATTGCTTTTGCAACTACATTTTACCAAGATGATTGTTCTTCTCTTCTTTTGGAAGAGAAAGAGGGAGAGGATGCAGTCTGAGCGGTTCCAGTAGGGAAACACACATACACACACACACACACACACACACACACACACACAAACACATACACACATATATGTATAAGACTGGAGTGATTGTATTGCAAGTAGGGCACTTGTCTTGCACATGATCAACCTGGGTTCAATCCCCAGTACCCAATATGGTCCCCAAAGTGCTCCACCTGGAGTGATGCCTTAGCAAAGAGCCAGTAGTAAGTCCTGAACTCTGCTGGATGTGGCCCTAAAATATATGTGTGTATGTGTTTATTATGCTTTAGATGTCATATGTTTTACATATATGTTTTATATTTTATATAATATATGTACATATATATGCTCAGGGATCACTCATACGGGGTGCCATGGACTGAACACAAGTTGTCTGCATGCAAAGTACCTTACATTTTGCACTACCACTCTGGTCCAAACATATATTTTATTTTGGGGTCAAACTTAGTGAAACTCAGGCCTTCTTCCTGACTCTATGCTCAGGAGTGCTCAGGGAACCATATGCGATATCAAGGATTCAAACCAGGGGTGGTCACATACTAGACAAGTGCCTTACCTCAAGTATCCATCCCTCCGCCAGTGCCCATTCTACACCACCAATGATCCCAGTAACCCTCCCATCACCCCCCACCACCGCCCCACCTCTGTGAAGGGGCATTCCCTTTTGTTCTCTTTTTCCTTTAGGGTGTTGTGGTTTGCAATAAAGGTATTGAGAGGCCATCATGTTCAATCTATAGTCTACTTTCAGCAAGCATCTACCATCCTGAATTTGCTGTTCCCTTTACTTGGTGTTCTCTTCTCTATCTAAGCTGCCTTCTCCCCAAGCATGCACTGCTGGTTTCCAAGCCATGGAGCAAACCTCTTGGTACTTATCTCAACTATTCCTGGGTGTTAGTCTCCCATTCTGTTACTTTATATTCCACAGATGAGTGAAATCTTTCTACGTTTGTCCCTCTCTTTCTGACTCATGATAGTTAGCATAATACTTTCCATGTAGAACCACTTGTATGCAATTTTCATGACTTCATCTATTCTAAAAGCTGCACAGTATTACATTGTGTAGATGTACCAAGTTTCTTTAACCAGTTATCTGTTCTAGGGCACTCAGGTTTTTTCCACATTTTAGCTATTGTAAACAGTGCAGCAATGAACACACAAGTGCAGATGTTATTTCGACTCTACTTTTTTGCCTTTCCAGGATATAATCCCAGGAGTGGTATTGCTAGATCAAATGGAAGCTCAATTTCTAATTTTTTTTTTGAGGATCATCCATACTGTTTTCCAAAAGGTCTGAACCAGTCAGCATTCCCATCAGCAGTGAAGAAGAGTCCCTTTCCCCCCACATCTGAGCCAACACCAGTTGCTTTTGTTCTTTTGGATGTGGGCCAGTCTCTGTGGTATGAAATGATGTCTCATTGTTCATTTGATCTGCATCTCCCTGCTGATTAGTGATGTGGAACATTTTCTCATGTGCCTTTTAGCCATTCAGATTTCTTCTTTGAGAAAGTTTCTGTTCATTTCATCACCCCATTTTTTTCTTGTGGTGTTTGACAAGTGCCTTGTATATCCTTGATATCAACCCTTTATCGGATGGGTATTGGGTGAATATCCTTTCCGATTCTGTAGATTGTCTTTGTATTTTGGTCACTGTATCTTTTGAGGGGCAGAAGCTTCTTAGTTTAAGATAGTCCCATTTGTTTATCTCTGTTTTCACAAAGTTTATTTTTTAACTTTGCTTATATTTATAAAAGACATTATTCTACATGCATATTTTTTGTTTATTTAGTTTTCAGGCCATATCCAGTGGTTCTCAGGACTTACTCTAACTGCATTCAGAGTTTACTTTTGGGAAATAGGGGGGAACGTTTGAGATGCTGGGGATTGAACCCAGGTTGACTTGATGCAAGGCAAGTACCTTCCTTGCTATACTATCTCTCCTGCCCCACATTCATTCTTTAAAGGACAATATTGTCCTCCCATTGTTCATCAATTTGCTCGAGCGGGCACCAGTAATGTTTTACAACAAATTGTGAGACTTGTTGTTACTGATTTTGGCATATTGAATACATCACAGGTAGGTTGCCAGGCTTCACTCTGCGGGCGAGATACTCTCGGTAGCTTACTGGGCTCTCCGAAAGGGGCGGAGGAATCAAACCCAGGTCAGTTGCATGCAAGGCAAATGCCCTACCCACTGTGCTATCGCTCCAGGCCAAGGATAATATTAAATTGTAAAATAATATGAAAATGACATTATAGAATAAAGTGATGTATCCTTGAAATCCCATCTTTGCTGCTGCTGGAGAGCTAAACAGTTGAGAGATACATTGGTGACTGGTCCAGAGAACTTTATTGGCAATAAGCTGGCAGATTCAAAGATACTGGATCCATGTCCACCAACTAACCATATTTTCCCATCACCAAAAGGATTTTGTAGAATAGAAGAAAGAGGAAGGTTTTCAATAGTGTGGCTTGCTAGGGTGGGAGAGATTAATAGAGTGGATAGAGCACTTTCCGTGCACATGGCTGACCCGAGTTAGATCCCCAGCACTGCCTATGGTCCTCTAAGACTACCAGGCATGATCCCTAAGTGCAGAGCCAAGAGCAAGCCATGAGCACCACTACGTGTGGCCCCCAAACAATAACAACAACAAGAAGTATGCAACCAGTGGGTACCAGAATGAGCTTGAAGACTCCCTGGTGAGCTGATTTAGTCTGCTGAAGTTCAGTTTGCAAACCTATACCAAGTAAGACTTAGGCTTTTGGTGAAGGAAAAAATAAGGCAGACTGTTAATTTCTAGTCTTTTAGTGGGGGAAGAAAGACACAGTCAGTGCCTTAATCGTTTGGGATTAAGATAGAGACAAGGGCAGTGTCTAGATAAGTTTGCTCTTCTTCAGTCCTTTAGGCCAATTTAAGTTTCCATCTTATGATGGCTTGTCCTTCAGTGTTTTTCAACACTACTCTGGTGTTCAAAGCAATATGCACTCACTAGAAAGCATATAATGGATTTTGAGTAAGGGAATTTGCTTTTTTGCTTTTGATACAGAATTCTATACATTAAAAGTGATATTAACATTTCATTTCTTAATTTTTAAACCACTTTTGTTTAAGTACTGGAATTTATAATACTTTTGATATCCCCACTACATTACAAGACAGAATTTGTCTTGGATGATTTTTCTCTGTGGGCAAAGAATGCTGAACATGTTTAAGATAAGCTATATTAAATTATGCTCTTCTGTTTTCTGTTTTTTTTTTTTCGTATGGGGTGGGCAGGGGTGTGCATTTGGGCATAGGGACCACACTGATCAGTACTAATTACTAATTCCTCATGGTACTCGGCAACCCTGTGGTACTGTGGATTGAACTGGGATCAGCCACATTTGAGGCAAGTGCCTTAACTCTGTACTATCTATCTCTGTACTATCTATCTGACCCTATGCTAGGTGTTTTATATCCTTGTTTGACCTTCATTATTTTTTACTGGCAATGGGTTTGTTACTTTATAACATCATTGTATGTGGAAGAAGATCTATGTATGAATTCTTGCCAAAAATGAAATACAAGGAATCAAATATTTATTTTAAAACTTTTCCATTTATTCTTGAAAAATACACACCTGACCAAAAAAGAAAAAATTGCCCTTCTATTACAATGAAAATTTAGTTCATTAAAATATTCATTAGGGTGCTAACACCTCTGGGTTTTAAAATTTTGAACAAGTAAATAAGCACATGACAGGTTAAAAAGAAAAACAAAAAGAATTTCAATGATAACATGTATGTGTCTTATATAGAGAGACTAAGCAGCACCGAATAACTCATCCACATGGCTTCAGATGGTATCTTAAAAAGTTGAACTTAAGGGATATCTCTGGAGAGAAGAACAAGTAAGGTCATTGAGTGATGTTACCAAGGAAGGCACAATATAGCAAGGGATACACATTTAAATTCTGCCTTCTTTTTGGAAGAGATAAATAGAATAGGTCTTCTTCGTGCAATAAAATTTAGTTATTGAAAAAAAAATCCCTATATTTCAATAAATATCTTTTCCCAGCCTTCAAAACCATACTCATGAAGTCAACTTTAGCAATGATATATTATTAGGAGCATACTTTTGTTCCCCAACTTATTCATATGCTACCTTTGGTCTAATAATTTTAAATTACATTACCTTCTCTAAATTCATAGTGTAAGAACTAGAGAGCAGTAATATTCATATTAAAACTTTGCAGAAATAAGAGTTTTCTGGATTAATTTTATTTTCTTTCAAGTTATTTAAAAACATGTTTGATTCTGCATATGAATCTGGATTTTTTTATTTATTATATAGCAAGTTTTTTCGGGTCACATGAGAATCTTTACTATACTTGCAAAAGTAATTTATCATTATCATCCTCAAAAAGCTGTTATTAAGCAACAAATTGTGCATAATCAGTCTAGGTAAGCACAAAGTTATATAAATGTGATTTTAACAACTAAAAAACTTAGGTGCTTTATTAAATATATTAATATAAATGCTTTTCAGCATATACTTATCAAAGATATAGCTGCTATCATTATCATAAGGTAAGTGGATAGAACAATAGAACATGAAAGTATGGGAATGTGCTTAATTCAGATGGTGTTCAAATTAATAATTGTGGATTTTTTTAATTTCATGTAATAGGAAATAGTAATTTATTAAGTGATGGATTGAACCTGACTGTCTTTTTTCAGGAACAGTTTTAACAAACGGGCTAGAGCAATAGCACAACCGGTAGAGTGTTTGCCTTGCACATTTGCCTTGCACGTTTGCCTTGCACGCAGCCGACAGAGGTTTGATTCCTCCGCCCCTCTCGGAGAGCCCTGCAAGCTACCCACATGGCAGAGCCTGGCAAGCTCCCTGTGGCATATTCAATATGCCAAAAACAGTAACAAGTCTCACAATGGATGAACAATGGGAGGACAGTGCCACAGTGCTACAGTTTTAACAGAATAGAATTAATCAAATTATGAG